TTATTTAATATGTATTTTAAGTTTTCCAGAGTGTTCAAAATTATTTGCTATATAGAAAGTTTTACTAAAATCTTTGCTTAGAAAATTCTTATTTTACATTTACAAATGATAAGCATTCAGACAGCCAAAATTCCTAATTTATAAGCTCTAAACTAATCACAAGAATTTTGGTTGTACATTAAATATTTTTGCACAAGGGTAGATATTAAGAACAATGTTACTATGTAACTCTTGCAAATACTCAATTCAAATCACTGTTTACCTTTTGGGCTCCCCTGGTATCCTTTAAAGTGCTTATTAATTCTTCTAAGTCTTTTAACTTTAATTCCATCTCTAGTGTTTTGTTTTCCATATTTCTACGTTCTTGTTGAGAATTTTTCATTTCTTGCATTATCTTGAGTTTGTCATTTTGCAACTGAATCATTGTTTTAGAGAACTTTTCCTGCTGCGCCAGGGGTAAAGCACCACTGAACTGTCTTCGTAGAGACTGAATTGTTTGGCGCAGATGTTTTGCTCTATTTCTTCCCTCCAAACGAGCATAATACAGAGCCTGTTCTTTTTCATCAAGTTTGTGCTCTAAACGCAAATTGTAGGCCTCCATCTTCTGGACTTTAGATATAGCTGACTCCAACTTACCAAGAGCAGTAGCCTCGCTAATTTGAAGAGAGACAATACGTTGGTGTAATTTGGCAATTAACGCCTTTTCATCAGACTGTGCCTAACAGTAAAAAATAAATATTTATAGTAAATTTCAATTTTTTCTAATAAATTCATCATGGATTCAAAGTCACAGTTTACTACATAAAAATTTAAAACAGTTTGACACATGAGATTTTACAAAGGAAAAAACCCAAATCTTCTTATTTCTATTGTTATTGTTTGAGACGAGGTCTCCCAGTAGCCCAGCTGGCCTGAAACTTGCTACATAGACCAGGCTGGCCGAGTTCTCATAAAGATTCACTTGCCTCTGCCTCCTGAGTGCTGGGCTTAAAGGCACCTACCACCATGCCCAGCTCCTAATTTTACTTGATTACAAATAGTTAGGAAAGAAATTCAGAAGAAAACGCTTAGAATGAAACATACTTAAAATTCCAAAAAGATAATAGTTGCAATAGTAGTGATTTGCTTTTGCAAATGTTAGGAACATAACTGGTACAATACAGAAACATAGTGTGTATTTTTTAATCCTCTAAAAACTACAGAATGTTGGTAGATGTAAAAAACTACATATAGATATAAGAAGAAATACTGTTATTAAAGATCCATTAATTTTTCCTAGTTAATGTGTCAAATTAAAGAGTTCCCAAAGTTCCAAATAACAAAAACAACCTTTTACTGCTATAATCTCTAAGTAACACTACACTATTGCATAAGCTAATGTGAACTTAGGGAAACAGATTCTACACAGAAGAGTCAATACTCTACATACCTGATAGTCTAGCATCTGCATTCTGAGGGATTCTACTTCCTTTTCCCTTGACTGCTGCTGTGAATTCAAAAATTCAACTTGTCTTTTGGCAATATCGGAAATTTCTCTCAGTCTAGAAAGTAATAAAGTATTTCAGGAATGATTCAGTATGTTTTCTAAGTAAATACCCAAATCTCTAACCTAGATCTCTTTCTAGAGAAGCAATTGGTTTCTAGCATTTCTTCTTTGTATAAAATCCAGAGTTCAGGAGTCTCGTGAACTATTTCATGAAACTTAATTCCATAAGGTGTTAATAAGTGATCTATAAAAATAGCCTTCTCCCTTAAAATTCATAATCTCTGATATGGTAACATATCATATACTTTTTAAAAAACATTTTACTATTTTTACTAAATGTGTATGAGTGTATTCCCTACATGTATGTAAGTACACCTGTGTCATGCAATGCCCATAGAGGTCAAGAGGGCATTGGATCCCCTGGAACTGGAGTTACACTGGTTGTTAGCCACCATGTGGGTGCTAGGAACTGAACCTAGGACCTCTGCAAAAGCAGCCAGTCTTCTTAACCACTGAGCCAGCTCTCCAGACCTTTATCATATTCTTTTTGAAAAGATCTAATGTGTATCATTAACTCTAATACATAGCATTTTCCAAGCACACATGGCCAAAGAATACTTGCTCACTCGTTTTTCCTAAGATACTTTTCAATCATAATTTAGGAAATGGTAGGACAAGGTATTAAATATGCTTATCTGTTACTATGGCACAATTAGGAATCTATTTAAAATCTTGTTTACTTAATTTCCACACTATGCGGAAGTTATGTACTATAGACATAGAACTATGGAAGTTCTAAGTTATATACAGAAAATATGTTTTGATTTGTTCTAGTTTTAATTATAAGCTATCTGAAAGATGAAAAGAAACAAGTTGTGCATTCCCTTCAATTTTCCATAGGATTTCTGTGATAACAGAGGCAAATGGAGAGTTGCTTTGTTTGGAGTAGACCAATTTTAGTTCAATGGGACAGATGAGCCAGTTTTCTTCATACTAATCAGAAGCCCTGTATTAACTTTTAGTTAATAAAGCATAATTAAATGAACAATTAT